ATGAAATAAAGATGTAAATTACCCCCCCCCCCATGTCAAGTTTTAATATTGGACACGATAACACGAATTCCTAGCATATCATGCCTAATTTATGATATATGATATATTATTTTAAGTTTTTCTTACGGCCTCTACCAGTATATAAAAATACTTAATTCAATAAGACTGTAAAACTGACAAACATTGTAAACAGGGTGTCGGGTGATTTTCAACATTAACAGAGCATCACCGATGGAATTCAAACAAGAGGCAGATCATGAAGTAAAGTAATCTGCTGGGACCATTAGCGTAGAGACAACAAATTAGTATAATTTTGTCCTTTGACCATGAAAAGATTATAAACATCGATTCCGGATATATTTCCTCCATCATGTTTGGTTCTGTATTTATGCCAGTGTAGAGAAAAATATTTAATTAAATATGTTTTACTCTAAGTCGCTGCAAAATATTGAATTAAAAATTAAAAATTTGCTCTCCAGATACATTGAAACTTTTTTTTAGATTGTTTTCTACAAAATCTCGTTTGTTTCTCCGTGTTTACGTCAAATCCTAGACGGCCATTTTGCACGAAAATCTGGCTGGGAGTATAACGTAAACATTGATCTGAGCTGAAGTAGAAAACAGTTGTTTTAAACACATAATGTCACTTACTCATAGAACAAGTGGTCTTGTTCAACGTAAAACTACCACTGTACAGAGTGTTGGAGCTGATGGGGGCGTGGAGGAACGAGACGATGAGGGATATACCCCGGACGAAGAGGAAGACCACGATTCGAAGGAAACAAGATTGACTTTGATGGAGGAAATTCTTTTACTTGGACTCAAGGACAGGGAGGTGCACATCCATTTTCGTGTTAAAAATGCAAATAGCAAGAAACTGCACTAAATTGCAACTCGAATTTCCTCTAATGTTTTTTATAAGAACAAATACAGGGATTGATTTTTTTTATTTTTTTTTAAATACTAGCAAATTTATCTAGTGGAAAACATTTCTACCAGCAAACTTGAAGTTTCACAAGGATTTCTCTGTATAATGTGCTTCTTGATCGTTTCTATGATTAAAAAAAAATGAGAAACTTAATATAATCATCAATTCTCTAAGACACACCATCAATAAATAAAGAGCAGTAAAAATATCAATTATCTCAATCTGATTATAGCAAAACTTTCTGATTGAACTTAATTGTAAAATGCACATGTCAAGGAAAAAAATCAAATTTAATTGATGTTATATACAGCCATTTGCTATGGACTGTCGGTTAACTTTGCCACATTTTGAAAAAAGAAAAAAAAAATGGTTTTAACAATAACATATATAGGCCCCTATATTCTTTAATGGTTTTTAAAGATCTGCAACACTACACACTATGCTAGAGCCAGAGACATAAAAGATTCCCATGTAAATTATCATGATCCAAGGCATGAAAATTACAAGCATTAATTCTTTTATTAAAACTTGCGTGTTAGTCACAGACACATTACATGCTTCATCTTGTTTTTATTCAGAGTCAAGTATTTAGGTCATTCTGTTAAGCTTTTAAGAGCACAAGACAAAGTCTGTATAAAATTTAAAAACCAAAACCAACAAAAATGGCAAATTGTAAAAAAAAAAAAAAAAAAAAAAAAAAAGGTCATTGTTTTGTTTTACTCACTAAATTGTGCAACAAATCTAGCTCAAGTTACAGTTTTGATTTTTCACACACATTCAGCAAGTATTTTTCTTTTAATTTTGACACCTGAAATGAAACAAGAGTCCAAGCTAATAGCTAGAAACTTTCAAAATAAACATTAATTTAAATTTTCTATTGCATTTATTTTTCTTCATTGATTCCTTTTCCTTGAACACAGGAGAGAACATTGGAGTCCATGTATGAGTTTTATTTTATTTAAATCTCTACATTGTAGAATTGAAAAATGTTAACATTGACAATATAATTTCACTTTCTCAATTACAATTTCAGGGATACACTTCATTTTGGAATGACTGCATTTCATCAGGTTTACGAGGTTGCATATTAATAGAACTTGCTCTGCGAGGAAGACTTGAACTTGAAAAAGCAGGCATGCGTAGAAGAAGTCTCCTGAACAGAAAAGTCCTCTTAAAGTCATCCAATCCAACAGGAGATGTATTACTGGATGAAACACTCAAGCATATAAAAGAGACAGAGCCACCAGAAACTGTTCAAAGCTGGATAGAGTATCTCAGTGGTATATATCTATATTCAGTTATTCATTTTGAAAATGGTTTCCATGAGTCCAGTGGACACCTCTCAAACTCTTTCAAGTATGAGTAACTTTTATCAACCTACCCCCAGTACACTGATTACTTTGGTCAACGTTGGAAAAGTCACCTAGCTTCTATCAGAGAAAATACAATAACTTCTTAATATTTTTAAAATGTTTTAATTTAATTGCACATCAATAGAAAGGTTAAACATTTCTGTTTTAGAGGATGTGAAATTTACATATTTTCAAAATTATTTAGCAAGTCAAAAGTGCTAATGAAAATCATGTACCCTATTCCAAACCCTAACCCTTATCCAAACCCGAACCCTGTTTATTTCTTTTACTATTTATTTTATTTCACACTTTTGATTCCATTGACCTAGATAGTTCATGACCTAGATTTATTTTATGAAAGATATATTATTATGTAATATTTTGATAAATTTGCTGCTATGAAGTTTCAAAATCACTAATGTTCTTACAAACATTCAAAAGAAAAATTATTCCTGAGTAAAATGATAAATAATATTTCAAGAATTTATTGAAAAATAAGTTCACAAAAATAAAGTAAACATGGTGTTTCAGGATATTAAGAGGAGTTGGGGGCTTCATAAACATTCTCTGTCTCGGAGCCTTCAAAGTCTGATTCCAAATCAAGTCTCTCTGGCTAGATTTCACAACACTGTTTGTAACTCAAATTTATTCTTTCAATGGCAGGAGATTGTAAAGAATGTTCATCAGAAAAAGGGGGGTCTTGTCAGGAAAAAAAAATCCATAAAAAATATAAACCACTGTATCAACAATTACTCTGCATGAAGAAAATGTATATTTAATGTGCTGCAGAATGAAGATTGGGATTGATTTTACAGTGTCTAAAGGTCAGGGTCCAGGGGTCAGGCCAACGGAGTTTTTTTTTTTTTTTTTTTTTTTGCTTTTAGGGTACAATTATTCTTTTCTTTCCTCACAAGACTTCCTTTTTCTTTGTCACCCTCTATTGAGTTTTCCTTTTCTTATAACGCCTAGGTTGTTTGCCTGTTTATTAAGCGGGACCTATACTGGACTAAAGTTTGAATGGTAAAAAGCTTTCATGAAACCCTACTCCTGATCTATAAAATTAAAACAGAATAAAGGCTGAGCTTTGTAATTTTAACAATGTCAAGTTTTGTCCATTTCACATTTTTATGCTATGGCTGTGGGAAGGATATTTATCAAAGTTGTCATCGTCAGAAAGATCGGACATTTCCCTGTTAACAGCCATTTTGCTTCCTTCTTCGTTTCCTTTAAGATTTATCTCATTTTCCTTACATTTTCTGTGATTTTTCGCCATGTGGTGTGTCATATTTGTTAACAGATATAATGTTTATCTAACTATAATACATAGTGAAAGATATTAACCATATCATTTTATATGAACGACCTTAAACACTCTATCATAGCTCCTAAGTTTATAAAGCTGCCATAAAAGTGTAATACTAGGCACTAAATCCAAAGGACATCCTTGGTTACATCTTTGAATCAATCACACTTAAATGTAAAAATTCAGTGTAAAAATTTTTTTTTGTTATTAGATTTTTTTTATGAATGAAATTAACGTTGATACATACATATCCACTTAACCTTACCTAACCTTATGCCAAATTGTAAGATACTACAATACATGAATATAGAATGGGACATTTCCTTGCTTGCTGAGTACTCTGTTCAAGACAGTTATTTTGTTACGGGGAGGTAAAGTGTGAATACAATGTATGTAGCACCTAGGTGTTAGTGTAGCCTTCTTTATTTATTTGACAATTAAGTACTTAAGATTTATTGAGTAGAAAATAATGCTTTATCTATGACACATGAAAGTTTACCTAAAACTCAGTGGAGTTCAATTGGAAAAAATTTTCTGCATCACATACATAATCATGTTATCAATTCATGGAAAGAAAGCATAGGTATTTGAATATTTTAAAACAAATAGAATGCTGTATCTTTGATTTGATGGTAGAATATGTTTTATATTTATGAAATAAAAGTCTTTCTTAAAAGAATGAATGAATACTATGCTCTTTTTGCATAGTTTGCACAGGATAAAACATTTAAGAATTATTTCTGTTACAGGTGAAACATGGAATCCCCTTAAACTAAGGTACCAGCTGAGAAATGTCCGTGAAAGATTGGCCAAGAATTTAGTGGAGAAAGGCATATGTACAACAGAAAAACAGAACTTTTTATTATTTGACATGACAACACATCCACTAACTGATGGTGGTATCAAGCAAAAACTTATCAAAAAAGTCCAAGAATCTGTGTTAAGTCGCTGGACAAATAATCCGCAGAAGATGGACAAAAGGATGCTCTCCCTCATTTATCTGGCTCACGCTTCGGATGTTCTAGAAAACGCCTTTGCTCCTTTATCTGATGACGACTATGAAGTGGCGATGAAACGTGTTCGGGAGTTATTGGACCTTGAATTTGATGCAGAGAGCATGAAAGAGGGTGCAAATGAACTCATGTGGGCAGTGATAGCAGCTTTTAGCAAATAGGCTGGAAAATGTCAAGTGGGGAAAAAAAAGGGACAATTATGTTATTTAAAGATACAAATATATGTAAATTCATGATGATTATTTTTGTTTGTTGTAAATGCATACATAATTGTGACAGAACTTTTCTATTAGGATACAAGTAAAACTTGTGCATTATTTCTGTCATGATATTTTTAATTAAACTGCAATCTTCATTTCAACTTATTTACAAATAATTTAACCACAACTTGAATTTTTTAAAAGTTTTAATGAATTTAATGAATTCAAATACAAAACATTATTTAAACATGGAGTGAAAATTTAAAAAGGATTTATAAAAATAAGAAATTAATATCCATTAGACTATCATATTATTTGCTCGTCTTTCATTAAATTCTCCTTTGCAGTTTGTACCATTTGTATAGTCACTTCTTTTATAGCAGTGAATTATATTGCAGGCTATTATAAGCTTTTTTTATGATCATTCACATAGGGTTCATATATGTACATATATATATGCATCACTTTTGTGGGGAAAGCTCACAGTTACACACATTGACATTCCTGCTGAGTTAGGACAAATGTTGAATAGTTCTTAACAATAAAATATCCATTCTTGCATCAATTATTTATTATTGAATGAGGAAACCAATTATAATATGCTTATATATGTCTTCTGGAGTTAAAGTATGTTATCTGTGGAATTCATAATTTTAAAAATTGAAAATTTACATTTCCAATAGTTGCATTACAAATTAATTACATGTGTAATTAATTGATATGAGTATGATACAAGTAATTGATGCATTGTGATCTTCACCCCCTGTTTTACATTGTGATTTATATCTGAGTGGTAGTATTGTGATATAGATAAATGTTCGTATGGCATTTATGTTCTAAAGTTGATTTTATTTCTTCTTCATTATGTGTATGGGAATTCACCAATTTGTTTCTCTCTCTCTCTCTCTCTCTAAATTTTTTTCTGTTTGTTTGTTTTTTGTTTTGATTTGTTTTTGTTTTTTTGTTTTTTTGCCACAAAAAGAAAGATTCCACTTTAAATCTGATGGGATATACAGAAACAAGATGTAAAAACATTTAATGAAATATTGAGAATGGGAGGGGGGTTGTTCTGCAAAGCTATATTTATATATGTTATAGCATTTTATAGGAATTTATCCTTACTGTACATTCTGTTATGTTTACTTCTACTTAAAGTTGTGTCTTGGTTTGGTGTTTGTTCTTTCTCCTGGTTCAAGATTTTGTTTAATTCAAATATGCTATGTAAATTACTACTTGATGTAGAGTATGGCTGAAGATTACTGCAGATTATGGTGTTGGAAATCCTTTTTTTTTTTTAAAGAATCAATTATCAGTATTTGTTTTCCCAGTTGGATAATTGATGTCTGAGACAATCTGTTTCACTTGTTCACGAGATGTGTCAAATTGACTGTATTTATCTTTCTCTGGACTAGACCTTCCATATCATCTGGGAAATTAATTTGTCAGTGTTTAAGAATACTAATATGTTGAAGATTTTTTTGTCTTTTTGTTATATTCCTGATTTATTTTATCAGTGTGTTTTTGACGTCAAATGAATATTTGTAAAATTTCTCTCAGCTAGATGATTCTCATCTACTGGTTAAGTCTGATTTTAGGGTGTTGGCAAGGAGGAATTGTTAGTTATGAAAATAATTATGTTTACAAGATTACTGTGTACTTTATAGAAAACCATTTGATCTGTGCACAGCTAGTACAATGTTTATGTCAACACTCAAAAAATTTTTTATTTGATTCTCCAGAAGCTTATAAATCCAGGCATAGAATGTATGGCATATTTTTTATGGAGCCAATCATATTCCACAAGAAGTTGTATTTATTTTTGTCATGGGGGAATATCTGTATAAAAGGTAATATTTTGATTTTATCTTTCTATAAAGTATGTCTAGATTGCATGTTATCTTACAACTGTTGTAGCATTTGGAACACCTCACACTTGACTTCTAATGTCTCTTCAATAGTATGATTGTAAAGGGTGAGGTGTTGAAAGTGGTTTGTTTTTCAGACCATGCTTTGCAGAAGGCAACACAGAGTGGTATTGGTCCCTGTATATTACCATATCACTGCTTATAAGTTCAAGATATTGAATACCTGTAATAATGAAGTAAAAGTATTTTAAAAAAAAATTCAAGATTTTTTTTTTTTTTTTTTGATTTATTTTATCTATCGATGTCTCTGAGGAATGCAAGTAATTTACCCCTCCAGAGATTTCCAATTTTGTTTCCTCTTCCTTTGCATAGATGGACATAAATCATTTATTTTTAATTTCCTTCTTCATATAATAATTCTGAACATGGTAATAGCATGGTTGAACACATTTTTGACTGGATTACAAACCAAAATCTATAGGTTTTTGATGCCTGTCCATTCATTGTGGCTACAATCTTTATTATATATATGTTGTAGGTGACTGTTTATGGAATAATCTTGACACTTGCCACGATGATTTACGCCTTGTCTTTTGACCTTAACTTTAGTAAATGAGAAACAGTGATTTTTTTATTCTGATCTATTAGTCTTCTATTTTGACATGTAGGTAAATGAGGATGATACATGTTTCAGATCCCACCATCCAGGAAGACCTGACCTTGACATTTGACCTGGTAGTTGGTTAATGAAATTTTTATGTCTCAACTGAGATATAAGCTCGTGAGGTTTTCTGATCTTCCATTGTAGGACATTCTTCCATTCATTTGTAAATTTTAAACATTTTCATCATCTCAAGAATCCAAGCATTTTTGAGTATATTTGTAAAAGGGAAACAAAATTGTTCAAATGAAGTGCCCAAGCCCCCATGCAAAGGGAAATTATCAAGAAAAGGTGGGGTCATTAAAAAATCTTTCTCAAGAACCACTGTGCCAGATAAGGCTATTTGTAATATTCTTGACAAAGTGAAGATTCTAAATTGTTCATACCATAGCCCCTGGGATAGATTTAACACGGGATCAAAGTTTTACAGGAAAAATTACAGAAACTTACCAGGTGAAAACCTCTAGACATTAAGTATGTAGATTATTCAAATAATGGCCCCTGGGGATAGAAAGGGGCCAGGATAGGGGATCAAAATTTTACATGGGAAAAATCTTTCAAAAAATCTTCTTCCGGAGAAGTGCTGAGCCAGAAAAGATGAAGCTTATGTGAAAACTTCCTGACATGGAGGTTAATTTTTAGCTCACCTGAGGTTTTCAAATCGAAATTTGTTGTCTGTCATTGTAGTTGTTGCTGTAAACTTTTCACATTTTCCTCTTCTTCTCCAGAACCAATGGACCAATTTCAATCAAACTTGCTACAAGGCATCGTTGGTTGAAGGGGATTCAAGTTTGATCAAGTGAAGGACCATGGCCTCTTTCAACGGGCGATAATTAAAAAATAGTGAAAATTTAATGGCACTTTCCAAAAATCTCAAAAACCTCTGGACCAGAAAAGATGAAACTTAAGTGAAAGCTTTATTACATAGTGAAGATTCAGTTTTGTTCAAATTATGACCCCATGGGGTAGGGTGGCAATCACAGTTTCATATAGAAATATTTAGGAAAATATTTTTAAAAATCTTCTCAAGAACAGCAAAGCCATGATTAGTTATATTTATATGAAAGCATCTTAAAGGTGCATAGACACAGATTTGAAGCTTATATTTCCTCAAATTTTCTGTATAATATCACAACTTATATGTTGCTATAGCATTTCACACGAAAATAAAATTAAAAACTTATTCAATCTGGAAATTATTGAAACTACGAATTTCGGGAGGCGTTTGATTAACACATCCTTGCACTTTTACAATTTTTAACTTTATCCTTAATACTTAAGAAAAGTAGCAATTTTGTTGTGTATTAATGAATAATATTACATCTATAATCCAGAAAATTCAGAGTAAAAATGTGCGAAAGCAGAACCCACTCACTAAGTATTGTCAGCCCGTGCTCAGTGTTGTGTAGTGGTGTACAGAGTTTAACAAATTGAATACACCCGTGAAACGTAAACTGTTTTTGTAAACAGGGCACGAGCTCTGTTGTTGTTAATGTTTACGTTTCACCGGGTGTGTTCAATTGTTAATCTCTGCACACACCACTGAGCACGGACTGACAATATACTGGTGATAGGACTTTGCTTTCTACATTTTTACTCTGAAATTTCTGCATTATAGTTTAATATTTTTCATTAATAAAGAACAGAATTGCTAGTTTTCTAAAGTAATAAGGATAAAGTTAAAATTTGTGAAAGTGCAAAAATGTGTCTATTAAACGCGTCCAGAAATTCTAAGTTTCAATAACTTCCAGACAAAAAAAGATCTTTATCAAATTTTCGTATGAAATGCTATAGCAACATACAAGTCATTAAATTACACAGAAAATTTGAGTAAATATTAACTTCAAATCTGTGTCTAAGCACCTTTAAGGTCAGATGACACGTTCCTCAAATATATATTTTGTATTATATAAAAAAAATATTCATAGTTGTCATTCTCTTATAATTTCTAAATCGTTTCAATATGTTTAAAAAAATAAGTACACCAAAAACTGTGACATTGGCAATTCAAAAGATTACCTATATTAAGGATTATATAAGAAATACCACCCTCTGGTATCTTGCCCAAATGCCTGGTAAGGTACCTCAATTTTTGGCGAGGAAACTTGTTCGTGAAGTTAAACTTCCATGACGAATTCTTGGGAAAAATTATATATTTTCTAGGAACGTGTCGTCTGACCTTAAGATAGCTCAGTGCTCACAGTACCTCTAGTTTTTCTTAAAATAGAGACATTGTGTATCAAAATGTGTTGCTTAATTTTTTTTTGTAAAGATGAGCCGAGTATTTTTCAGTTGAGATAGTGTATGAAAGAAGGGGGTATACGTCTTCTAGAGTTTCTGGTCGGAAACGTAAACTGTCAACATGTGTATTTTTGTGCATTTTAATTAGATATTATTCCAATGATTCAAATGGGAAAAAGGAGTAAGGACTTAATTAAGTAGAATATTTTCTTTCATTCACTCATTAATGAAAACGCTTTAATTTGTAAACTCGGGGTGGGTGTGGGGGTGGCGGTAGTAAAGGTAAACAGATGAAAGGAAATACGCGAGACTCTACCTAGCGAGTAAAATCGGTAGAGATTGCCGAGTTATTTTGAACTACCTGTTTTATTCAAAACGTATTAGACCCAAAAATATATATTCCAGAAAATACAGTTTATCTCTCTCTCTCTCTCTTC